AAAAGATAAAATCAAAAACAAGGGAGATTAGTTAAGACATTATTTTGAATAATCCAGGTAGGAGATGATGGTGGTTCATTCAAGAAAACTACAGTAGAGGGTGAGAGAAATGGTCAGATTTTAGATAAAGTTTTGAGTAGGGCCAATAAAACTGGTGATGGTTTACATGTGGGGTCTCAGAAAGTGAGGAGTTAAAAATGACTCTAAGGCCTGATGGATAGTAAGAGATGGAATTGCCTTTGACTGAGTTGGAAAAGACTGCAGGTGGAGCAGGTTTGGGGAAGATATAACAAGAAGTGCCATTTTAGACATGATTAGGCTTGACATGCCTATTAGCCATTAGTGACCAACAATTTGAAGACTGAAAATAATCCAAATTCCCCAACAACTGAGTAATGAATAAACAGAAAGTGGTGTATCTATACAATGGGATACTATTCAGCAATATAAACTAACAAACTACTGATACATGCCACAATATGAATGAAACTTAGAAACATTAAACTAAGTAAAAGAAACCAAACACACCTACTCTCTCTCTTACCACATATATATATACATACAGACTGAACATTGCATGATTCGATTCAGTTAAAATGAGCTTTCTAAAAAAGTAGGTCAGTGGGGAAATTGGGGGGGAATACCTTTGTGAAATGATGGAAGTGCTGTAACACTAGATTTTGGTAATGGTAGCACAACTGTATAAATTTACTAAAACTCAGTGAACTATACATAAAATGAGTGAGTTTCCTGGGATATAAATTGTACTTTAATAAATCTACTATTTATTTATTTATTTATTTATTTATTTATTTATTTATTTATTTATTTAAAGATTTTGTTTATTTATTTGACAGAGAGAGACACAGCGAGAGAGGGAACACAAGCAGGGGGAGAGGGAGAGGGAGAAGCAAACTCCCCGCTAAGCAGAGAGTCCGATGTGGGGCTCGATCCCAGGCCCTGGGATCATGACCTGAGCCGAAGGCAGACACTTAACAACTGAGCCACCCAGACATCCCTAAATCTACTTTTTAAAAAGAGAGAGACAGAGGAAGAGAAAAAGGAACAGAGAGACAGAGAGAGAGAGAGAGAGACAGAATCAAAGGAGTGGAATTAAAGTATGAGACAAAGATTTTGAAAAGTTTTGTGATGAAAAGGAACAGAAAAATAAGGTAGTAGGTGAAAGATGACACGAGTCAAGAGAGCTTTGCTTTGTTTTGTTTTTAGGTGAAGGAAGAGACAGTATAGTTGCATGCTTTTGGGAATTATCAAGAAGAGACTAAACAATCTCTGGTGAAGATGCAGATCATCTTCACTGAAGCAATTTCTTAAAGTAGACAGAAAAAGGATGAACTACAGTGCACAAGTTAAGGGATTGTCCATAAAAGCACAACAATGCATCTATACTAAAAAAGGAAAGGGGTGTTTGGGTGGCTCAGTGGGTTAAGCATTCAATTCTTAATTTCAGCCCAGGTCATAATCTCAGGGTTGTGAGATGGAGCACCCCCTCCCCCAGTCAGGTATGGAGCCTGCTTAAGATTCTCTCTCTTTCCCTCTGACTCTCCCCCAGTCTCCCACATGTACTCTCTCTCTCTCTCTCTTTAAAAAAGGAGGGGAATTAGAATCTATCAGTACAGATGCTAATGCGTGTTTCATTTGGTGATGAAGGCTGTAGAAGTTATTTCCTAATTGCCTTCCTTTCCCCAGTGAAGTAGGATGCATGGTTATCAGCTGAGAGTGGGGATGGCAGAAAAACTGAAGGACGGGAGACATACTAGATTTGACAGAATTACAGTAAGAGAACTAAAGTTATTTTTCTTTTTAAAATTTCTGATCCTCATTAAAGTGTCCTTGAAATTCATAGCTTGGTTTTTAAACTCAGATCAGTCTGCATAATTCTCTCTGGTTCTTTTCTTTTACAGTTGTATTAAATTGAGTAGGTTTGGGCATGCAGTAGGCTGAAAGATGGATCTACATTAGGATTAAGGTTTTGCCAACTGTTGAGTCAGTGTGATGAAGCATAAGAGGGATGAGAAAATTGAAGCTCTATGCAAGAAAATGATAATCATTGAAGGAGAAAAGTGAGAATCAAAGGAGGGGAAGTAGAGTGAGAAGGAGCTAGGATCAGTGATTTGTAGATTTCAATGACATTAAAGGATTCCTAGAATCAGGGTATTGGAAGGAATAAGCAGAAGGTAGTAGATGCTAATAAGAAGTGTGGTAATTGAGAGATTGTAGCTGTTTGTAATAACAGTTCAAGTGGCCATGGATGGTTGTAAAATAAGAGCATCGCAATGGAGAAATAAAAGGAATGAAGAGGACAGGATGTTGTAAGACCTCTGATGAAATTACCAAATATTAAGACTGGAGCAGTATTGAAGAAATTGACAGTGACCCAGGTGGTAAAATCTCAGGAAATGAAGATAATGAGCTGGGAGAGTATAAATGATTGCAACAAGAAAGTGTAGAGTCTAATGGCTTGAAATTTAAAACTGAAGGTTTGTAAGGAGGAAGGGAGAACAGGTAATGAGAAGAAAGGAGGATATCTGTTCAAATCTTACTCTGAATGGTACATACAAATTGGGAGAATAAATAGCCATGACTTTAAAGGGCTGTGGGGAAGCCATATCTTCAGTGTATGTGCAAGTTTCAGTTGGAGCAAGAATATAAAAGGAATGTTCAACAAAGAACCTTAAAGATAGGATTTGACTGATCAGGAGAAAACTACTCATCTGGTAAGTGTTAGACATTGGTCTGGATGCTGAGTTACTCCTGTTATTTTGGGCTATGCATGTATCCCCTAAAACTCTGTGGTGCTAACTCTGATGTTTGAGTGGATCATTTGACATAAAACCCCCAAATGAGTACCTAGTAGAATACAACCTCTCCTACCATATTAAGGTATACAGTCTAATATTTTTTTATTATTTATTAAGTAATCTCTACACCCAGCGTGGGGCTCAAATTCAAGATTCTGAGTTCAAGAGTCACATGTTCCACCAATTGAGCCAGCCAGGTGCCCCAGGTGTATATATTCTTACAACATATATACAATAGCTACCATCTGGCATTACTCTTACTGATGTCAGTCAGATATCACATTTTTATTTATTTCATCAATTATTAATACATATTCTTATATCTCTTGCTTATCACGTATGCAATTCATTATTGCTATTTTTCCCAATTAGAAATCTCTGTAGTTTTCTTTGGCAATTGGATAATTTGTCTTTGTGTAATCTTGCAGTTTTGCTTCCTGTATCATTCTCTCACATTTCCCTTTTCTGCACATGCTCTAACAGCCTTGCGATATAGGTTATGTTTCAAAAAATCTTGCTTTCATGTTAACTCCTTTAAGTCTGATGGTGAACACTTTCATCCTTTATAGAGCAGATTCCTTTGTCCTCCTCCTCTTCCTTCTTCTCTTTTATCTTTAACAATTATTCTTCTAATATTGCTCCTTAAACTAAATCTAATAACCCAACATTAGACATAGCATATATTGATACTATAGGATTCTCTCTTTTTTTTTGTTTTTAAGATTTTATTTATTTATTTGAGAGAGAGAGAATGAGAAAGAGAGAACACATGAGAGGGGATAGGGTCAGAGGATGAAGCAGACTCCCTGCCGAGCAGGGAGCCCGATGCGGGACTCGATCCAGGGTCTCCAGGATCATGACCTGAGCCGAAGGCAGTCGCTTAACCAACTGAGCCACCCAGGCGCCCCAATGCTATAGGATTCTCTTAAACCTACTAAAATTTTTTGTCTTATCCATAGAAAAAAAGCTACAACACATGTTTCCTTGAAAGAATCTAAGCCTAGAATCACAAGCAGGTAAGATTAAATATGTTTACTGTAAAAGTCCCTAAGCTACTCACAGAAGGAGTAGACTGAATTGACCAATAAGAATTAGGTGGGGGAAACTCAAAAATTGGTTCCTGATAGTAATTGTTATCTGAGTTTCAAAGCAAAATGTTTTTTGAAACTATTTTCTTATTGAAACATAATTTACTTTTCCCTCAATTAAAAAAATTAGAAAGGGGGTCAGATAAAGATGAGAAATTTTAAGAAAATTGATTGAGGTCCTATTGTAATTTATGGTAAGAATTATCCATGGTAGAACAAAGTTGGGCCCCATTACTACACTGATAATTACAACCTAGAAACAAGTGTGATTTTCACACTAAACAAAAAAGAAAAATTGATTGAGATGCCAGGACTGAATTCAGTTTCCTGTTAACCCTAAGGTCTTTGTTATTTCTCCGATAGACATTTGATTCTCTCTCTCTAGTTGATACTGGCCACTCTTAAATTGTATTATAGGAAAACTATACTGAGATACAAAGAGGTACTCATCTCAAATTATAGAACTAAGGAAAAAAAAGAGTATAATTAGCTGGGTTGGCAAAGGGAATATAATTAATCTGAGCACAGTTTACTATTCTGTTCCTCCAAACCCCATGAAGTACTTACCTATTACCATGACTTTTACAAATAAGCGCTCAAGTGGCCAAAAAGTAATATGTAAATTATAGTTTTGTTTGAAACTCAAAAAAATATTTCTTAGCAGTTTTTGTTCCAGTGTCACAAACAACACCATAAACAACCCAGTTTCAAGCTTATCTTCTGAAACAAGATGCACGTTGTTATTCAGCTAACTCAACTCTGACACTCCAAATAATTTTGAAAAGTTTTTACTCTCTCAGCTTATCACATTCCTTGTGCTCCAGGCAATGTATTCCTCACTGGTGGCAGGCAGAGACATAACCACAACAATCAACAGTTAGAATGGCAATAAAACAATCTTATCATAGTGCGGTCTTCTGTCCAGTGGTAGTTAGAGTATATGATCTTTAATTACTAAGCTGGTACTCTGGTACATTTCAAAAAAAAAACATGCACATTTCACCTGGAATGTTTCTTAGTCAATACCCTGTCTAAAAGAATGAGCATATAGTAAAAGAGATCAGCAGCAATGTAGAATGGGATCCTACTGTACCTGGAGAATGAGGCGGAGGAGAGCACATCAGAACAACCCCCTGGCCTTCCCTCACCGAGACTGCACTTCTTGTCCGGCCACTAAAATTTCCCAGATCTGTCAATATAACACAGCACTTAGATGCAAGGCAAAAAAAAAAAAAAAGCTTAAAGAATTTCTACTTTTATAACTTGTACCTACTTTTCTCTCATTATGCAAAGTTTATTTTTGTTTGTTAGGCAGTGATATCAGGGCCTTAAAAATAAATCTATACCATACTATACCATACAATTTTAAATACCACAATTTTCAGATTATATGCACTACACACTATTTCTACTTATAGTGCATACAAGTTGCCAGTATAGGAAGAAAATAGACAATACATTTATAACACATTAAATAGTCCTTTCATTTCTATATAAAATTTTTACATATTGATTTTTCTAATATTAATAAAACCAAATCATGCATAGTGAGAAGAGAAATAGAAGTGGTTAGGGGTGTCTGGTGTCCAACCTGGTGCTTCATTATGTCATGCTAGGAATGGTGTGTAAAACCAAGCATGAATTTTCTAAATTAGAGAGACTTGTGTGCTCTAGCAGAATATAATGGGGATATAAAGTATTCTTTTTCTATAAATGTGAGTGAAAAAGTCATGTTATTTTCATTTTATAGAAGCCTGGAATGGCTTGTACCAATTAATTATACCCATCCATTTTCATTACTTTGGAACTATCGTAGTTATCAAAATACCCAACTATATGTATGAAGAATTACAACATTGATTGGGGTTCAACTCCCTTCTCTTAAATTATGTTGCATCTGCACAATTTGAAAATACTTTCCTAAAAATAAAGTTACCTAAAAAATGAAGTATATTATTTGCATTTCTATTACTGTTTATTAATCTATTCATAGTTCAGTATATATGGCCTTTTCCCCCTTCTTGGGCTAAGTTGATCAAATATATGATTTTTAAAATAGTTTCCTAGGAATGGTAAGATTTCAATATTTATAAAAATAAACAATGTCCCAGAATTCTCAGTCTGTAAAATCATGTTCCCATGGTGAAAAATACTTCTTGAAAATGTTCTGCCTTTCCCTCCATTATTCACCAACTGTAAAAGAGGTTTTTTGAAACTTCTCATTACTTCACATTAAAATAGTATGTTTCACACCAATACAATGTAGACTCTCAAATTTAATGTTTGTTAATCTGACAAATGATGAGAGTAAGCAGTCAAGAAAATATACTGAAATTATATGGAGATAAATCACTAACTTTAATATCCTAAGAGGGATCTTATACTTTTTTTGAGATATATGCAACAATTTACTGATTTACTGAATTTACAATCAAATCTTCTTAAACACATTCAAAATCATGAGGAACTACTAAACCGTGAAGGCATAATGCCAAATAAATAAAAAAGTATTCATTATTGATGAAAGTGTTTATAATTTTACACATAATTCTATGCTTCAGGGAGCCTGAGTGGTTCAGTTGGTTAGGCATCTGCCTTCAGCTCAGGTCATGATCCCAGGGTCCTGGGATCGAGTCCAGCATCAGGCTCCCTGCAGAAGCAGTCTGTTTCTCCCTCTGCCTATGCTTCTCTCTCTCTCTGTCTCTCATGAATAAATAAATAAAAATAATATATCTGTGCTTCATTGTCAATAGTTAAGCATTTCACAAACTAGACAGATTAGAAAAAATTGTCCTAATTCTTTCTTTCTTTTTTTTTTGATGGTGGTTTGAAAACATAGACACTAACTTCTGGTAAAAATCAAGTTTACTCATTTTCAAATATGTGTGATTCATGGCTTTAAATTTCCTATGCATTGGTTCTTAGGGATAGAAGCTGTCTTTTTCCAATAAAGGATCTTAATATGAAAACAAGCATGGCAAGATTTCTAATTTGACTTCCTTTGACTCTACTTTGGGACACAGGAACCACACAGTGAAGCAGTGATTGCATTAAGGTTGTAATGCCTCTTTAGGCCTGGTTTTACTTTCCTTTTTTCATCCTCACTGAATTTATAAACTCTGGAAGGCTATTTGGATATCAATGTATTATAACTGAAATTCTTAAATGGTTTTTGAAAAATATATATATCTTCCAATACATTTACTACAAGTTTATGTTATGCTTATTCTGACATTTCAAATCAACCTATTATAGTAAACAGAATATTTTAATAAAGAACAGTCCTAAATTAATTTCTATATCTGAGAAACTGAAGTACAGGCATGGCCTAGAAATTAGACATGAAAAAGAATAGAAAATTATAGAATAATTATGACCCAAATTGTGTTTTGAGATCACAATGACCTGAAAGATAGCACTAAGTTGTAATTGCTTTATTAGGTATTAGCTGTTAATACAGGTACAATTCAACATTTCCTCATGGAATTTTCTGTGTCATTATTTCCAGGGAAGCATAGCAGTACAAAGATAAATGGATTTTTTCAATTGTGAATATATTTCTTTCTTTCATAAAACATATAGGGAAATACTAAAAAGGAGACTGAAATTTTATGGAGAGTGTACTTTTCTCATTTAAATCCTTCCTCCTAAGGAAAAAAAAAAGTGAAATATTATCTGTAATATAAAAATGGTCCTTGTGTTAGGCAAGATTTTGGTTATCTGTGGCAGAATGATTTATGTGAAAAAAATTCTTGGGTAGAGTGGGGATGGCAATTGGGCAGAACAGTCTTAGTGAAAATACAGCTGGTTATTTTTATCTCATTGTGAATGAAAGCAGTTACTTTCTTTGGAGGTACTTATCAGAGAACTTAGTCTGAGTGCTTATTACATTATTTTAATAGCTTATACATTGTATTTATCAAGGAGATAAAAAAAACCAAGAATATTAGGGGGCGCCTGGGTGGCTCAGTTGTTAAGCGTCTGCCTTCGGCTCAGTCATGATCCCAGGGTCCTGGGATCGAGCCCCACATCGGGCTCCTTGTGCTGCGGGAAGCCTGCTTCTCCCTCTCACACTCCCCCTGCTTGTGTTCCCTCTCTCTCTGTCAAGTAAATGAATAAAATCTTTAAAAACAAAAACATTTATGGATGGAGCTTTGATTATTTTATTGACACATGTAAAAAGTACATGTTGATACGTTCTTTTTTTTTTTAAGATTTTATTTGCGAGAGAGAGAATGAGAGAGAGAACATGCGAGGGAGGAGGGTCAGAGGGAGAAGCAGACTCCCTACTGAGCAGGGAGCCCGATGTGGGACTCGATCCCCAGACTCCAGGATCATGACCCAAGCCGAAGACAGTCGCTTAACCAACTGAGCCACCCAGGCACCCTGATATTTTCTATTTTTGATTTATAAGGGAAAAATGAGTAAAAATTAAAATCTTAGCATAAGGACTCCAAAATTCAGGTTAAAGTCTTTTTTTTTTTTTTAAGATTTTATTTATTTATTTGAGACAGAGAGAATGAGAGACAGAGAGCATGAGAGGGAGGAGGGTCAGAGGGAGAAGCAGACCCCCTGCTGAGCAGGGAGCCCGATGCGGGACTCGATCCAGGGACTCCAGGATCATGACCTGAGCCGAAGGCAGTCACTTAACCAACTGAGCCACCCAGGCGCCCCAGGTTAAAGTCTTGAACTGAAATAAACCTCTTTCTGAACTTATAAAATAGCACGTGGACAAATAGACAAGTAATGGACTAGAGGAGAATGTTTGTGATCAAGAATCACAGAGCTCTAGGCCTTGTCTTTTCTGTAACTCTTTTTCCAAGTTCAGAAGTTCATGCAGAGTTTGATAGTGGAACTTTAACTAGAGCTGCAGCTTACAGAAATACTGTACCTATTCATCCTCAATGAACCATGCAAAGAAAGAAAAAGGTATATAATAAATAATATGTTTGAGAACCTCACATGACAGAATGTAGATTTAGGATGTGTGATTTGAAGCATATTCAACAAATGTAAGATAAATAATTTCATCCATTTATTTAATAAATATTTCTCCAGTGCAGACCACACACTGAACACAATGTTAGGTACTAGGGTCACAGAAAAGATGCAAAGGAAGGATGTAGATGTATGAACTTATCATATCTACTTGGGCCAACTTTCCACAGACCCAGCTGAGAGGAATCTGTGCCACCAAATAGATGTATGAGCCCAGCTTGTCACAGCCATCCTTATGAGTTACCATGTAGCACTTCATGATATTCTCCTAAACGTGAGCTACACATACACACACACACATACAATTTGAGTTTCTTCCTTCCTTTCTCTCCTTCCTTCCTCCACCTTCCTTCTTCCCCTTTCTTCCTTGCGTTATTCCACAAAGGATTTGAAACAGCTTAAAATACATTTGTATATAATACAAAAAATCAAATAAGTGGTGTACAGATTCCAGGTGAAGATAAAATGGGTATGGTATGAATCCTGTAGGTTAAGATTAACACTTAAGAATATATGTCATATGCTTTTATAAATTATTAGAAGTTGGCCATTAATTTTACGTTAAACTTAAAGGGCCAAAATAAAGATGGATATATTTCCAGTCTTAGCATTCATGGTTACGGCAAGATAAAAATTTTCCAGTAACTCAGTGTAAGAATAATGTTAATAGATTGTAAGGTCTGTAGAAGGATTTCTCCTGAAAGACTTCATAAAGATCACACTGGGTGGTATAGTGGGTTGAACAAATTTGCAAACAAAATAGGAAGGTTTTTCACCCATTAAGACACCTTAAGTAGGTATAGTGCACGTGCACACATACATACACGTGAAAACATTTCAAAAACCATTGCCTAGACAGGTGAATTATTTGAAAGTGTTAGAGAAAGAAACTACATAAGGGGTTCAGGACACTGATCTTATGATCTTAGGTTAAGTACAATAGATTGGTTAGTTACTGGGGAGAAATGATTTAATCTTATTTTATTTTTCCCTCCCTACCCCTATGTTCATCTGTTTTGTTTCTTAAATTTCACATATGAGTGAAATCATATGATAATTGTCTTTCTCTGAAAGACTTATTTCACTTAGCATAATACCCCCTAGTTCCATCCACGTCATTGCAAATGGCAAGATTTCATTTTTTGATGGCTGAGTAATATTCCATTGTGTATATATACATCACATCTTTAT